TTGCGGCGTTGGGCGGCTTCATCCATGAGCTGTACTCTGAGTTCACCGAGGAGGGACCCTTGCCCTCGGCTGGGACTGCAGGACCGAGTGGGGAGGGGAAGAAAAAGACGGGCGCCGGAAGGCGGAGGGCTGGGAGCGAACGGAAAGGGGAGGAGGAAGAGGGTGGAGAGGGGCGACGCGACGAGGATGGCGCCGAGAAGGACGGTGAGGGAAGTACAGGTCGGGCGAGAAAGAGGAGGAGGTCGGCGGCGGCAGGGGATGGGTGGGTAGAGGGGCAGGAGAAGAGCAATGACCGCGGAGAGGCTACGGACATGGATGGAGTGTCCTCAACGCACGGCAAAACCGGGCCTGATGAGATGGAGCACGACACGGATGCCCACGACCCCGCCGAGACTGACAACTTGGAGTACGAAGGTGCTGAAGACGGCGGCGGCGGTGACTCGGAAGCCGAGGAAGAGGCTCGCGAGGCTGAAGCCGAAGTGGACTATCTGTCGTCCATCTTCCCCAACTGGACCGTCGGGCGGCTCCTCGGAACGGGAGCTACTGGGATGGTGTTTGAGGCTGTGCATTCCGAAACGCTCGAGCCGCTGTTTGCCATCAAAAAGACGCGGGTGGTCAACACGCATCCGTGGCTCCCCATGCCCAAGCTGTTCTCGACCATCGTCAAGGTGCTCCGCTTGGCGGATCATCCCAACGTGCTCAAGTACTATGGTGTGGAGCAGGTGGGCGAGGACATGTACGTCTTTATGGAGTACTGTGGAGGCGGATCCATACGGGATCGCATCTACTCGCCCCATCTGTTTGCAAAGAAGGAGAAGGAGAACGGGCTGGTAGGTGGGGATGCTCCTGGGGCCGGGGGGGCTGGTGGTACGGAGGCCGCGGTGAGTGGGCCTCCTGTCCCGGGGATCAGGGACGAAAAGCTGATCAGGAGATGGATGAGGATGATTCTTGAGGGTCTCAGGTATATCCACAAGCATGATATTGTGCACAGGGACCTGAAGCCTGGGAACCTGCTCATCTTGGATTCGGGGCTGGTTAAGATTGCGGATTTTGGGGTGAGTTGCGTTTTTCCTTTACGCATCCCGTCACCTATCGCAGGTTTTTTAACACTCAAAATAGGGCTCCAAGATTCAACAGCGGTGCTGCGATCAGCCTCACTTGACGCAAATGTTTGGCTCTCCGTCGTACATGGCCCCGGAAATCATCACATCTTCCGCCGAGGGCCCAAAAGGCGCTCAAGATATTTGGTCTCTTGGCTGTTGCCTTTTCGAGATGGTGCTCGGAAAGCCTCCATGGTATCAGCTGGACAATGTTTATGCGCTATACTACCTTATGGGTACGTATGCCAAGCGCGCGGAATCCTTGCAGACCGAGGGCGCGCCAGGCAGCGCTGGCATTGGCGCAAGCGCAGGCGGGCTCGCCGGCGGTGCAGTCAGCGCGGCCGGGACCGAAGCCTACCGTCGTGGTGGATGTGAGAGGCATGCAGCTGTGTATGCGGAAGTAGCTGCCAGGATGGAGCAGGGAAGCGGGCACCCTCGCTGGGGGGTTCACGAAGGGCCTGGCGTGTGGGGTAGGCCCCGCGCGCCGTCCCGTGCTGCCCGGCGGAAGGGGAAGAAGGCTGATAGGTTGACCGAACCCGATAGCGGCAGCGTCAAGACCTACGTCGGAGGGGACGGGGTCGGTGCCGTGCTATTCAACGGCAGCGCGACCGGCCGGCGGCAGGGTGATACTGACGCCGACGATGACGAGAGATTCGGAGGACTAGACGAGCGGATTCGGGACTCGGATCTTACGGATTCTGATTTCAGCGACGAATCATGGAGCCCGGACGAGGCGCAGCCACAGCTCGACGTTCGCAATGGGGGTTCCGAGTACGGCCAAGAAGGAGATGCAACAACGGAACTATCGGCATCTTCCTCTGTTGTCTCTAACAAAACAGAGCGTCCTGGCACAGTCTCTGATGCGGGCGGCGCGGTTCCAAGGACCCGCGCTGAGCGCGGGAGCGTTGCAACACGTTCGTCGCTTTCCACGCGGTCCTCCGACAGCAGCTCTAACGTTAGCGGCTCGCGCTCGCAAACGCCTACCGGTGGAGCAGGCTCGTCATCCGTGTCCGGATCGATAGCAGGCGGTGGCGGCCGTCGGCCTTCAAGTGCCGTCGTCTCATCAAAGAGCCGGAGCACATCGTACCGCAGCCTGACGGCGCTGTACGAAGAGGACGATATGGGCGTTCAAGCTGATGGCGAAGATGACAAAGACCCAGACGCGGCTGAGAGACGACGAAGACCGTCGGCTCAGTCTGGGCTTTGGTCTCGACGGTCGCTCGCCGCATCGTCGCCGACTTATGGTGGATTTTGGGATCGCGAAGCGGCCGTGAATGGGGATGATGTGGGGAAGATGATCCTGGAGGAGCTTGAGCGTGGCGACCGTGGGTTCTATGACGAAGATGGCATACAGAATACGGCAGCGATCGAGGCAGCTTTTATGGAAAGTCTCGGCATCGAATGGGATCCGATTGGCGCAGCAGCTATGGCCGCCGGAGGTGGATCCGCCGAGCTCGACCTGTATAAGAATTACACCTCGTACGGCTCGAAGGCAGCTGGACGGCGATCGAAAATTCCCGGCCTGGCGGTTGTGCATCGCGAGAATAGAGGCATGGGGGCGGATGAAGAGGACGGCGAGAGCCTCGCCGACCCGGCGCCCGTCGACAACGATCCGGAGATGAGCCGTTTCTACTTAAGTCGGGCGTTGTCGTTATCGTCTCTGTGGGCCAAGCTCATGGGACAGCCTTCACCTACGGCTGCGCCCATAGAATCTGGTGGTGCTGCCGGAGCGGAACCTACCGAATTCCCTTGGAATTCCGATCCTGTTCCGCCGAAAGAAGGCGAAACCGACGGGTTGATAGTCGGCGACGTTACCGCCGTGGCTGCGCTCACACCCCCGCCGGATGCTGGAACCGACACCGAGGTGGATGAGTACCTTACAGCCACCGATCGTGATTCTTCGCCTGCCAGCCAGCTTCTCGATGATGATGATGCTGATCGCGACGAAATTGGACGGGCTACTGACGTTTTCGACCGAGACCACATTGTCGCGTCGCTAGACTTCGGCGACGGCAGCATTTTAGCCACCAACGCCAAAAACCATCAGGGGCTGTTTTCGCCGCCGCCTTCCATCGAATCTTCGCCGTCGGCCTCCCAGATGAAGGCTGGGGCTTCACCATTTGCGCTTACATCGGCGCTGACCTCAGCCAGTCTCGAGTTGGAGGATCTTGGGGTAAAGGACGCTCAGCCACCTACCCCAACGGATCACACTGACGACGATGACGCTGTTGCAAAGCCTGAAGGAGGTAGGCGCCGAGGGTCCACCGTCCGTGAGCGGTCGCGCCCTTCCATTGGTGATTTGAATGGAAACGGAACAACCGCTGGGGACGTGCTGACCGTGGACGTCCCAATGTCGGTCGAAGCCTCAGTAACGTTGGCGGATGGGTCGCTTCCTTCCCCAGAAGTTCCGAACGTCCCGGCAAACGTGAAGGAAGATGATGCGACCTCTGCGGCGTCAACTCTTCAAGTGCCGACGGTAGAAGCACGCCCTAGAAATACGTCGAACGTAAGTCAAGGTCGGCCATCCTTGTCTTCCGAAAGCCAGAGCGTAGGCGCCTCCGGGGTCGATGCCACAAGCCCCACGGTTGAAGGTGCGTTTCCGTCCGCCTCGACGATGTACAACGCAAACTATCACCAAAATCACCATTACCACCATCACCACCGCCAACGCAACCCACACCACCATAACCGTTTCAAACGGCCTTCCCTTGCGGTACCTCAAGCCCTGCCGCGTCCGCTTGCCACGCCAGTCAGCGCGTCGCCGGGGAAGGGTGGCCGCCAACGCGAGAGTGTCGGTCACGGCTTTGGTCCTCATGAGGGCCGGGGTGCGAGAAAGGGGTATACGAGGGAAGAGATCTTGGCATCGGCTGGAACCGCGAATTGCTTGCTGAGCCCACAAGATTGCTTGATGAGGTCCAAAGCACTGAACAATCCACTCATGACAATCGCGCTGGAGAGCGGGGCCTTTAGCTATGAGGGTCTGGATTTCTTGTGAGTTTTTCTCTCTCTTCCCCTCTTTTTTTACACGCCTCAAGGCCTAATCGTTGTTTTCCCGTCACTTAGAAATCTCTGCCTTCAATGGAACCCTGAGAACCGACCTTCTGCTAGCGACCTCCTCGAGCATCCATTCGTGTCGAGTGTAGACTATGAGCCGGAAGCCCATCGCGACAGCCAATTTGACCACCTGCTGAAACTCATTTGAGTGGCAGCCCTCCCCTGTTTTGCACCGTTATGTATAGATTTTTGTGGCAAAGACTTGAAGAGCCTCGACTTTTCGAGCTTGGCCCATTTTTTATTATATATATATGCTTTTTGGTTTTAGACGGCTTTTCCTGTACAGTACCTTTTAAAAATGCGCCATTTGCAACCTACCTTTTAATCCGACTTTTTGCTTTTGGATCGTCGTTTCTTTTAAAGACCAAGCGGCTCTTTTTGCGATAGCTTGACGCAACCTTGTTTGCAACTCTCTTTGAAATAAACATATACCGCGGTGGTTTTGTCACACATATATTTCTACGTAAAAATCATCAGCATCAGTAATGGTCACGCACTTATGCTAAAGCAGCTAGGAAGCGGAACAGTAGAGGCAAACCTGATCGTGCTCGCGATGCCCTTGGGCTAAGCGGTTCTCTCCACATCGTGGGAACTCCGGTGAAAAATTTTTTTGGCCACATTCTTTGACAAATTCAAACGTTACGGCAAAGAATTCCGCCAGCGGGATCGAACAAGAAACCAACGTGGAGTTCCCGGCCACTTGCGCATGGCACGGCAAGACCAGGACGCAAAAAAGAACGCATTTTTGAGCGGCAAAAAGACATAAATAGTAATAAAAAACGTTATATCCCAAAATCGAGGTATTTGCCTTCCGAATGATACGGAACATTGCGGAGCGGCGTTTTCTGCCCTCTACGCGGATTGAACGCGTGGCCTTTCGCTTACGAGGCGAACGCTCTACCACTGAGCTAAAAGGGCCGCTGTTTGTAGTTGTTACGACGTAATGTCAATGAAAATATATCATTGAAATAGTTAGCGTGCAATTTCCTCATTACCTTCGTCTGAAATGAGTCCAGGTCGGTGTAAAAGTTCACTAAAGCGGAATGATGTGGAATAGAAGGCAAAAATCGGTCCCTAAAAGCGGTTGAAGGTGGTTTGCAGAGGCTCCGGTCTCGAACAACTTACGCTTGGGCATTTCCTGTTCAGCAATGTCGTCGGGCATGGGGACCGCGAGTGTGACAGTTAGGAATGATCGCTTATTATCGAGGTCCGGTAGACGGCGGCGAGACCTGCAGGCGTGTCAACTAAGATTAAATTGAAAATGGCCTGGGTGCCGGGCCCCGTTAGCCCAAGGCGAACGCTCTGCCACAGACATTCTAAATATATAAGCCTGATGAATGTGTTGCTCCCACGTTACCTCCGTTTGAATTGAGTGTCAGGCGGTGCAAAGTTAAGTTAAGAGGAATGACTTGGAATGGTTTGAAATGGAGGCAAAATAAAATCAGGGCGTTTTATGCGGCAAGTGAAGGTTGTTTGAAGAAGCTCTGGTTTCGATGAATGAAAGACTCAATGTCGTGTCTCTTCAGATGCCCATCTCCAACTGCCGGTGACAATAATTTTGGACGTCGCGTGTCTCATAAGTCAGTCCGACGATCTGCTTTTGTTTTTCCGCTGCGGCGAAATCGACACTCTCATGAGATGTATCAGCATGTTCACGGCTATCGTCAGCTTCTGTGATTGGCGACACACGGGGCATGTCTAGCGAAGATTGCCTTGAGGAGGTATTGCAGCCATTAAACTCCGATGCTCATCACAAACACGAGGACGTCGACTTGAAACATTCTCTGAATATGCCCAATATATCGCAGTAAATTTAGCCTCCACTGCATTTGTGCTCCACTTTCCGCGCCTTGAGGTCAGTCAGCAGAGGCACGGGCAAATTCCTTACAGCCCTTGCTCGTTTCAGCTCACCGTCGCGGTCTTCTTTGCGCTTTCGCCGTTATTTTGACTCGAGAATACATCTTGACAGATTCCAGGCATGTTTAGGGCGCCCGCGTGACTTGTTTGTGCTGGCGGGTGGGCAAACAAACTTGCGAGGATTCGGACCAACCGTCCAAAAACACGAATCGACAAGAACCACCGCGAGAGTGATATCCAGGCATGCGAGGATGCCAAAAACGGTTGAAAAACCAAGGATGATGAAAGGTGAGCTATGACGGTTAAGGTTTCAATGGAGACTTGAAAACAATCATACTTGAAACTGATCACTGCCTCCGCGGCGAGCACTCGAGTCTTTGGCGATACAGCAGGAAAAAAATTCGATCCACTACCCTGGCGCTAACCCGGCAGCTCTGCGACTCTTTGTAACTCGCTGCGTTCGCGCGGGGTCTTCGTTGTACGGTGTAAGCCGTAACGGATCGGGAAAAATGAGTATCTAAATCTAAGCAGCTCGGCAGGAGACACGTGTGCTCGACATGGGGCTGTTTAAATGTGTTAACGCTGTAAGCAGCTCAAGCCGTCGACCTGGATGGGCCGGGGGGAACAGGTGCACCTTTTTTGAACTCTAGAAAGTCGGAAGGGGTGAAAGAGGTTTCTTTCAAATGTAGCTCCAAAGGGGTCAATCTGCATGGAGATCCTTCACCATGCAAGTTCAGTTCAAAAGTTTGGACGCTCAAGTTATTATTTCCTTGTTTCTTCACTTTCATGATGTGGACTTCCCCGATACTTACCCGAGAAGTTATGTAGTCCGAGAACCCGATACTTACCCCCAGAAGTTGTGAAGTCCGAGACCTGACTGCGAATCGGATTTCGCCAGATAGCAAGTATAGCAAGTAGGTAATCATTTAAGAAGATCTGGGAGGCGATGGTAAGGAACAGGGTTTAGCTGGACGACGAAACTAGTTAACATCGCGCGCCAAGTGAAGCACCTAACGGTGGCATGCCAGGAAATCGCTAAGATACTAGTTGAGGTATGGAGAGACATCAGGAATTGCGTAGAACAAAAGTGAACAGTTGAACTCCGCTAGCCGATGCTGTTACGGTATCCGAATAGTAGTCTGCGAGCCAACCAGCTTAGGATTCCGGCCAACCTTGCGTCCTGACAGCCGTCAAGTCAGAGATCAAACCATCACAAGGAACCAGCATGAAGCCTTTAGCAGTCCTCCAGCATAGCCCGGAGTACTCGGTGAAACCTCAGCAATCTACTTTGCAGCAAAAACTCTGAGCATACGCTGCATTGAAAACGAGGTCCCTCCGTCCAGCTCCCTTTAACTGCGCATCATCCTAATCACACCTGCTGCAATCTCAATGTCCAGCCCGACCGCACTATTGAAGCTGCATCCTCACGTTTCCCGTTGCATCATCGCCTCTTGCTTATTATTAAACACTCAGTTATCCAGAAAGCAACAGCGAACCGAAAAAACCAAACCACAAGCTAAAAACAAAACCTCCTCAAACCACAACTCAACAACTCGGCCCAACGCCAACGGAAAACCCAGAAGCAACAACCTCTTCCAGTGTGAGAGCGTCCTCCGTCGCCACAGAGGCGTGCCGAAGAACGCAAGCGAGGAGGGGATTCCTTTTTTGGTTTGTGCAAGCACAAAGGAATCCGCTTTGTGATGACAGAAAACCACAAACCCGCGAGTGCCGTAAGATCACCTACCTTATTCATCTCAGGAGATTAAAGCCAGTGCCTTGAGGGACCTTGTGCAAGAAGCCCTCTATCCACCAACAACTCGAACCATTGCAACCTCACCCCCTCAAAACACCTCCCCAACAACCGAGCCCTCCCTCTCCTCATCAGCACCAAATCCAATGTCCTCCGCTCCAACTCCGACCCCAGCATGCGCCTTCCCCTCATCCTCCCCAACACCCGCACTCACGGGGCCATCCTCGCCGCCCGCCACCAGCCCCTCGACCAGGGCCGCGTCGCGCACACGCGCATCGTCCTCCTGCTCAAGGTATCGCTTCCATGCGTCGTCGAGCATGGCGCGCGTGGCGTCGTTGTGCGTTGCGGGGAGGAAGAACACCGAGGGCTCGGTCTTTGTGCGCAGGTAGCGTGCGAGGTTGGCGCGCTGGGAGGCTTGCGTTTCTTTCTGTTAGGTGTGTTAGTGTGTGTTAGGGAAGTTGAGGTTGAATGTGGGAGAAGCCAGACAAAAACGTACAATGGTCTGGGCACGCTTCCGGGCTTCCTCTTGGCGTTGGGCGGCAATCCGGGCACGCTTGGTCTCCTGGTCTTGCCGCACGCGCTCCTGAAGCTCCTCGTGCTCCTTTTTGAGCTTTTCCTGAAGTCGCTGCTCAAGCTGCTCCCTGCGGATTTCCTATTTTGCGAGGTTAGCGGACCGCATGCAAAACAAGAATGGGAGGAGGAAATTTCCTACCGCCTCGGTCTTCTTGTTGGTTGTCTCCTTAAACTTTGACAGTGTCCCGAGCAGCACACCAAACATGCGCTGGCCGCGCTTGCGCTGCTGCGGGTCATTGTCGATGCGCGGCCGCTTCACCTCGGGTTCGGGTACGGGGGTCGGGTCGGCGGTGGTGGAAGCCGGAGCCGCGTCGTCGGAGCGACCGTGGCGGTGGTGGTTGTTGCGGGAGGAGGTGTCCGAGTCCGAGTCGGAGCGGCGGCGGCGGGGGGCATCTTCTTCGGTGGCGGTGGGCTTGCGGCGGGGGGAGCGGGTGGGGGAGGGTGAAGGGGAAGGGGAAGCGGAGCCTCTGCTTGTTGTTAAGAGAAGGGGGTTAGAAAGGCCAAAGGCGTTTAGCTTGGATGACGGGAAGGAAGAGCGGCGTGGAAGGTTGAAGTTCTAACGGTCGGACGACAAAAGGACACCTCATAGAAGACAAACATTCCCCGTTCCAAAATCCCGAACCTCCAATGGACTTCATTGAAACATCCATCCATTCCATCCATTCCACTCATTCCGTCCATTCCAAGCAGGCCAAGCGTGGCTAAATCCTCCAGAAAACTCGAGTCCAGCGCATGCGTCGTCAAAAGCATCCACCGCACGCCCGCTATCCAAACGAGTCCCAACCTTGTACGTCTCCGGTGCCTGCGGTCGTCATTGTCGTTGTCGTCGTGCTCGTCGTCCTCAGCGGGTCGCTTGGAGCGTCGGTCCTCGGTCTTTTCGTCCGCCATTCTCGCAATTGCTGCTTTTTTGTTGTTTTTTTTTCCAGCTGGTGCGACCGACTGCGGGGCAATGGCCGAGTACGCTGACATATTCACAATGTCTCTCGGCAGAGAGGCCAGCCGCGGTCGTAAGGATATCCAGCGCGTTTAGTATGTGGATTTGAGTGCGCGTCGTTAAGGAATGCCGTATGAGTTGAATGGGGCATAGAAAGAAATCAGCGTGACGGAGCGATACCAAGCGGTAAAGGAATGGACGGGCATCCTTTTGAGACCCATGGTGCTATAGGAAGCCATGGCAAACTGCGCTGTTCAGTCCTAGAGCCTTCTTTCCCACGGTGAATATGTTGCGACACGTTGAACTGGACGCGTGAACAAGTGACGCGCTCCAAAAGGTAGAAACTTGAATTTTTTTTGGCGAGAGACGGCGAGCGGGGTGTTTTTGGTCGCACCAATCCAGTGGAGGTAGCACACGCCTGTTGGTTGCAAGACTCCCATTTTGTTTACGTTGCTGCTGCTGCCTGGACTCTTTGGCGACCGACCGACCCATTGACCTTTACGCAACATCAGCGACGGCGTATTGGAGGACTTACACGGAGAGCTTAAACCTCTGGATACTTCTGGATACAACTCAACTCTGCGCATCGCACATAAGCAGATTCCGACTGTCACCCTTCATCCTTGCACCCGCCTCCATAGACATCTAGAAGCAAGCATCGCTAGAACGATGCTGTCGTCAAGGAGGATGCTCCTGTTGCTGGCAGTGGCCGCCGCTTCGTCTTCATCCGCCATGGCTGCACCGGCACCGGCACCGCAATCCACCGGCATCGCTTCTGGACCCGATAAGATCACCCACTCCATC